TCAAGAGGTTCCAGTGCCAGTGGCCGGGCTGTGAGTGGCGCACAAACCACACGCAACAGCTGGAGATCCATCGGATGCGCTCTCACGAGGGAAAGAAGCTATACTTCAAACGCTATAAGTCGAAGAACAACTCAAACCCCAACTCCGACTACGACTACAAGGGTGTGCTCAAGAAGTTTGGCTGCGATTGGCCCGGATGTGGGCGACGGTTCCGCTTCGAGAACAATCTCCAGACACACATCAAAGCCCATCAACGATCTACAGGTGCGATATATCGGCTGTTTTTTGGCCACAATTTTCTATATCTATAATTATGTTTATGTTTTTTGCGATTCCAGACGATTCGGTTGAACCCAAAGCACCAAAAAAACCGGCCAAAAAATATAAACAAAAATATAAATACCGGATTCCGAAAGAGACCAAAGTTAACAAGAAGTATCCGTGCGAATGGCCCGGATGTACGGCCAATCCTATGCCCAAAACTATGGTAATAAAGTCATACATTTTATTTAATTCTAAACAATTAACTTATTTATGGTTTTGATTGTATGTTAAGCTGAAGCAACACATGAACAGACATAAGGGCGTTAAGCCGTTCGCTTGCGATCACTGCGACAAATGCTTCTCATATAGAAGTACTCTAAGAAGTCATATCCAATCCAACCATCAATTGGCTGAAGAGACCATCGAAAGGGAGTTCAAGTGTCCGTTTGGTGACTGCACCCGATCTTTCAGTACAAAGAAAGGCATCGACTTTCACATTAAGAGAGCTCATCAAAATGTAGTGACAATTTTGATTACTATATTACCTTAATGCAACCAAAAAAATACAACCAAAAAAATTGGTTTCAAAATAAACTCTCTATCTGTGAGTCAATACCAGTCAATACGCGATATCAAGCTTTAATACAGGCAATGCTATTTTATTGACAAAGCAATTTTGAAAGTTGTCATTTTTTTGGTTGCATTAAGGTTAAACACTAATTTGTTTAATGAATTATTTATTTATTTTTCATTCCCTTTAAGGATAACGAAAGCAATTTTAGCCAAACGCGTGACAGTTGTGATAATAGCTATAATAATAGCGTTATGACGATTAGCGAAACGCCGAGTCCTCAATATATGGGCGTTCAGTCAAATGTGATCCGTTTGGAGCGCATTCAGGCCTTCAATTCCATGCGAATCAACGGCCCGTACGAACGGTATGAACACCATTACGAGTCTATGGGTTCGCCCGCCGGCCTCACCAATCGCTCCACTCATACAACTGCCGAGAAATTGCTGACAAATGCTCTGAGAGCTCAACGCGGCGTCAGAATTGTGAGACCAACTCAACGACAATCCATCGAGACTTCGCCGCCGGTCAACACCGAGACTATTATCAAGGAGTTGCCCATCGCTTGCACTCATGATCGCTGTTGGCGACGATTCAAGTCAACGAAGGCTCTCGAATACCATCTCAAGAAGTTTCACCCGTAGTTGTGTTGAATGACTTTTTCACTTTTACCGTAAATTAATTTTTATTAATTTTAAATAATTTTACACTTTTTGTCACGAGTTTAAAGTTTTCACTTAATTTATTGTGATTTTTGGAATAAATAGTTTTTTATTGGTTGTAAATTAATTTAAGATTAATAAATATATTTATTATTTATAAATTGCTGTTTATTTAATGTTTAATTATTGACACAACATTTTATTATTAATACAATCGTTTGGCTTAAGTATAATGAGTTATTTTCTAAATTTATAATACATTTAATGATTGAATTGACCAGAAAATTGTGGGTATAATTAAAGAGCAATGGATTTGACAAATATATTAGACATTGATTTTCAGTTGAGATACGATTTCTTGAACCGAAAGCCTTCGTTCTGTAAGACACAGGTCTCGTAGAATTGGGCCAACATTTTCAGGTCTTGTAATACATTTGGGTTATGACCGACTCTTTCTGCCATTTTTAGTCATATAAAACAATATACTCTTTAATTTAATCAACACTACATTACAATCATATATTGATTTCAAAATTTTAAATTATAGTAAAACACAATTAACACAACAAATTATAATTCAAAGATTATCATTGAATCTCATACCTGAGCGGACATTCCTGAGCGCGATCTTCTGAACGGGATGTAAGCGACACATCGGCGTGTCTTTGATGACCATTTGGGTGAATACATATGCGGTTAATGTTAGCGACAATAACAACATCCGGACTATCATATGAAGCATTTTTATAAAGATTTAATGTTTGACTTGTCTTTCAAACGCGAAGTCAAGTCTGAATCTAAAAGAGGAAAAACATTTGTAAATAATTTTATATACTTTCTCAGAGACGCCGATTCAGTGCACTATTCCTTCGGTGATAGGAATAAATTAATTCAATCATTAGCTTTTAATTATGGATATGAACATGAAATGTCCCTGGTGAGTGTGTGTCTCACAAACGTACGCTAATATTAACTCACAGTAGTTACCTGTATAAATCATACTTTTCTATC